GTCAAGGACGTGTCGGGGTTCGCCTCCGCGGCGACGGGGCCGCGAGCGCCAATGTCGTTGGCCGACCAGGACGCGTTCGCGCCCTCGCGCTCTCGAGTTCTCGGCGCGAGGGTAGTGGGGTTGGGTGGGACGAAGCGGAAGACGTAGGGCTCCTTCCAAGCCTGCTCCAGCAAGAAGTCCGCGGGGGGAATGGCGACCAAGCTGGGGAGGTTGGGATCCTCGCCTACCCGCTTGAGGAACTCGAAAAGGGCTAGACTCATTTGTGAGACTGGTGTATGCTATTAGACCGAAAAGAAATCTTTGGTGGTCGTAAGGAAGTCTCTTAGTGATTGTGTTTTTTGCAAAATATGGACTAGCTTGTAGTCCTTATCTGTTTTGTGCAGCTGGAGTGTTTTTCGAAACAATCTTGACCGCACGTTAAAATTCCTTTTTTATCGTTGACAAAAGCAACAAGAAAATATAATTACTTAGTACCCCTATATGTAAATTTACTCGAACGCATGAAGATACACAGGAAAAACTGATCTGATCTATGTAAACCCTCCAGAGTGATTTAATCACGACGCTGAGAATCGTAGTTATGAAGAAGCCAATAAATGGGGCTAATGCTATGTGTGGTCACTTTGAAAATAATAAAAAAATGTATGAAAAAAAAAACTAACGCTAATAAAATACTCTATTTATTTGTTTTGAATACTAATAAGGAAATAACTTTTAATCGTTTACTAATACTCCTATTTAGTAATAAAATCCAAATATGATATGACAAACGGCAATATAAGGTATTTGCTCATACACTATTATTACTCGTGTTTAAGCCTTATTAATGTTAATATTCAGTCAATTCAAAGACTTAAATATTTTTATAGATATTTAAAAGGAGGCTGTCTATGTTTAATAATAATAATAATAATAAATATATATATATATATATATATAAAGGATTCTTTCCTTCAAAAAAATATCCTGTTAAACAAACAACAACAACTAAAAAAATGTTCAAAAAACCTTTTTGACCACACCCGAAAAAGAAAAATAATTGAATATATGTTAAGTGATGAAAATCCAGGATGTTAAATAAAGAAGAATTGATCATGAATAGTAGATGGTATGTAACTGAACCCATTGGCATAAGCATTGTTGCGTATAAACTATTCATGAAAGTCTTGTTAGCGCCTTCGCTTGCAGTATGCATTTTCCGAATCTTCAGTAAAATAAGAAAATGTATGCAAATGGTAATGTTGTTATAGGTACAGAAAAAATTAGATTAACATTAAAGCAGTGCTTTACCAAAGAATTTCAAATACACATATACCCATAAAATCCATGTGTAATAAATAGCACAATGATGTTAATAAGATAATCCTCAGTGTGTGTGAGGGAAGTTCAAGCATCTATTATCTAGACAATTCTGTTATCATTGGTCTCCTTCTTCCGCTGGTAACACTTGATAGTCACTACTACCACCTATCCTTATGAATTTTTCTCCCTTCTCTCGTAATACATCCTCAATATTTTTAGCTTCTTCATCAATCCAGCCAAGGTTATCGGCCAAGAGGTGCATTACACGGCACTCCGAGCATTCCACAATTACGATTCCTTTTGTATAGGCGTGCTTTGAGAATTTCTTCACCATACGGTAGTTGCAACGTCCGCATGTAAAGGCGGCCACCATATCGCTTCCCTTTGGCCCGATACCGTGTCCACCCATGACTGAACTTTTCTGGCTGTCAGGGTCCTTCAAGACGTTGTAGATAAGACGCTGGTCTTCATCAGAAAGGCTACGGATTTGTTCAGTAAGAGTCTCCGTTTCTGTGGACATGGGGCTAGCGGCAGGCGGCATCGCGTCGTCGATATGCTGATCCTTCCTTCCACTTGAGGCTGAGGAGAGGTTAGTGGTCGAGGTGCTGAAGCCGCATATAGAGGGGGTACTAACCCATCGCGTAAGATAACCCGAGTGAGAGGAGGGGATGGCTAGGGTAGAACGCATCGCGGATAGGCCAAGGCGCAGGGGTACAGCACGGCGAAAGCAAGAATTACAGGCTAAGCTATGCATTTTTTTAAGGACTTTGTATATGTGTATGTGATGCCTATTTATGGGCAATAGAGAAGTACATAAAGAAGTCAGTTTATACGCAACAGTTAAATCAACGACAGCACACAATCGCGATCAGCGCCATTGTGTGTAAAAATCATAATGAATTAGAGTGGATAAGCCCACTTTTTTATTCAAACACTTTATCTGTCTTGACATCATTTTTTTTGCTTTTCCATAGTACCTTATAAAGGACTAGGGCACGAAGTGAACTAATCACGATGGGAAAAGCGTATCAAGTCAGAAAACTCAATATTCATTAGAAAAGGTCTCATAATCTCCTTCAAATTCTAACTTTTGGAGCTCTATTTTTATTCAAAGCAGCATGTCAAGCATCGTTTGATTTCTGGAACTGATGCTAAGTTGTAACTTCAAAAAGAAAAAAAGAGAACCAAGGCCTGTTTACATCAAAAAAAAACCCCTTCACTCAGTGATGCGTCCACAATGAGTGTGTCAAAGGCAATTATCCAAGTCATTGTGGCAACCCACATCGCCACCGAACATCCTCCTCGGCTACACGATGTCATCCTTTCCACCCTCCTTTACTACTTTTCCTTTTCCTTCAAAATCTCCTCCAACCAAGGGTGTCGCTGAAGGAGCTCGGCGCGTCGTGTCGGGGTCATAGGGGGGATGATGGCTTGGGGGTCCCCGTCCACCGGCCTCGCCACGACCAGTCGCGCGTCCTCCTCGCTTAGCCGTGTGACGATGGTCGCGACGAGCGCGGCACAGAAGCGCTGCAGTGACACAATTCCCAGCACCCGGGCAGCGTGCAGGGTCTCGCAGAGCCGGCCCAGGATGAGCTGCTTCTCCTCCAGGGTGAAGGAGAGGACGTAGGAGGGGGTGCCGGTTGGGCCCTGGGCCCGGGAGCCCCTCTGAAGGCGCGGTGCGGCAGAAGCCCGTCCCTAGCGCGTCTACCCACGCCCC